CAGAAGTTCATACGTTCTGGAAACATTCTTTTCCATGTACTCCAATGAACGAGGTTGAATAATTTTCCAGTCCTCAACTGAAAAAGTAATGGTGAAACATTTTTCTTTGGATTTATTGCTGAGACCACTTAAAGATTCATCACTGTCTGAAATGAATGGATTTTCATCTAGTAATGAAAACAAAAATAACTATAACAAATACAAATATATAAATATATATAAACATACCACAGATTTTTAATTCACATTTATTCATTTTTTTTTTCAAAGGAATCAAACCTAATCTGTTTTGAATACCATCACGATTTAAAGCTACACGTAATCTAACTGATGCTGCAGATAAATTTTTTTGGCATTTTAAATTCACAGCATCAGAAATATTTTTCCAAACCTTATCATTTGTCCCTGGAATACCTTAAAAAAATATTACAATATGTACATTATAAATGCACTAAAGAAAATGTTAAAATATTTATATTGTAAAGAATTTGTAAAATATTTGAATAGTTGTACTTAAATACTTTCTAACTCTTTTTCTGAAAATTTTTTCCAGAATACTAAATACTTTTTTTCTGTTTACAGATATACCTCAATGAATAGTATAATATTTGTTTGATATTTATTATTTAACAATTTTAAACATAGATCTTAAAATTAAGCCTTAACAAGTCAATGACTTTGTCCTTATGTATCGTATGTGACTTTTAATTATTGTCCTTAATTATTAATTATATCTATTGTAACGTCACAGAATTTTAGGCCTCTATAATATCATTATCCATTAAACCCGCCTTTCCCTACAACAATTAAATTATCATACCTATCGGTCTGCGACCATTACTTTAATGGTCTTTCTATTATCACAATAGCGCGTTGCGATTAAGACGAACAGTAGTCATGTTATATCATCACTTATCCCCCCAACCCCTCCTGAACATAGTGTCCGGCGAACTGTCTCCGCGGATGTGGTTACCTGCGCTGTCGGCGATACGATCGTCTCCACCGGTAAACGCCGACGAGCCGTCCGGCGCCCGTTGACTTCTCTCGGCATATTTTTTTTTTTCTTCTTGTCACGACCGCTGCCCGGTACACCGGTATATGTAAATTTGTCGTCAAGTCTGTCGATCCGTCCATTAACAACCACGTGGTCAATGTTTTGTTTATGTATCTCGTCGACGCCATGATGGGCTAATTCTACCATCTGGGKCTGTGGAGGGCCCAGCGACCAATATCCACAACAGTATCCAACGTAACCGGTGCAGATGGGCCGTGTCGATCACGAGTTAAGGTGWATCGACGGCCCACGAGGCCAGCCTATCACAGCCACCGGTTNAAACATTATTGACGTGCACAAAGTGAGTGTTACTTTTAAATTGACTTTTGGTAAATTGTTTATTGAGTATTGACATTAATTAAATATATTATAAATTAAAATAATATAAAATGTTATTATATTAATATAATTGATATTAAATATTTTATCTAATATGTATTAAATGATAATAGCACTGTGATAATACGGTAGATTGGTCTATGTAGTGTGGTAGTGGAGGCAAGTTAAATGAGTCGCCGTGACACGATTTCAAATTTCGCTCAACGACGGCGGCGTCGAGTAGTTTGATGTTTAGGTGGGGCGGAGAGTGGTGTACCGGTTGCGGCACCTATGACCGGGCGGGTGGTGGTGGTGGGAAGGCGGCACCTTAGGCCGGGCGGTGAGTAGGAGAGGTGGTGGTGGTGGTGTATGATGATGATGAGGAGTGGTGTACCGGTTGCGGCACCTTAGACCGGGCGGGTGGTGGTGGTGGGACGGCGGCACCTATGGCCGGGCGGTGAATAGGAGAGGTGGTGGTGGTGGTGTATGATGATGATGAGGAGCGGTGTACCGGTTGCGGCACCTATGGCCGGGCGGGTGGTGGTGGGACGGCGGCAACCATGGCCGGGCGTGAGTAGGAGAGGTGGTGGTGATGGTGGTGATGGTGGCGTATGATGAGGATGAGGATGAGGATGAGGAGGAGGAGGATGAGGATCTTGTGATTGAATTCTCTATTTTATACTACTGTTGTGGTTCCAGTAGTGGCATCTATGGCCGGTATACTAGTATATATAATAAGTAGTAAATATAATGTCTTATAATGCACATGATAATGTGTGTGTGTGTGTGTATGTGTGTGTGCGCGCGCGCGCGTGTGCGTGGAACAATATAGGTTGTAACGTCACAGAATTTTAGGCCTCTATAATATCATTATCCATTAAACCCACCTTTCCCTACAACAATTAAATTATCATACCTATCGGTCTGCGACCATTACTTTAATGGTCTTTCTATTATCACAATAGCGCGTTGCGATTAAGACGAACAATAGTCATGATATATCCTCACTTATCCCCCCAACCCCTCCTGAACATAGTGTCCGGCGAACTGTCTCCGCGGATGTGGTTACCTGCGCTGTCGGCGATACGATCGTCTCCACCGGTAAACGCCGACAAGACAGCTGAAGCCCAATAATTATGTAAAATCCCCGCGAAAAGCAACACTGTCCCCGCCCCACTCCATCACATTTTCAACAACGGTCACCATCAAGACGAGCCGTCCGGCGCCCGTTGACTTCTCTCGACATATTTGTTTTAACTCTTGTCACGACCGCGGCCCGGTACACCGGTATATGTAAAACTTGTCGTCCAGTCTGTCGATCCGTCCAACAACAACCACGCGGTCAATGTTTTGTTCATGTATCTCGTCGACRCCATGATGGGCTAATTCTACCATCTGGGGCTGTGGAGGGCCCAGCGACCAATATCCACAACAGTATCCAACGTAACCGGTGCAGATGGGYCGTGTCGATCACGAGTTAAGGTGTATCGACGGCCCACGAGGCCAGCCTATCACAGCCACYGGTTACCAACACCTCAAGACACCAGCTGCAGTCGCCAAGTATTATTATTTCCCCTAAATACCCCTTCTTTTTGTCCGATTATATATGCATCTATAATTTTTCTCGTACACTCATTTTTTTCTTTCTTTCTTCTTTCTCTTTTTAAAGAAATGGCCGGTAACCGCGTGTCGTGTGATGATATGGTGGTGTGGTGGTGGTGGTACGGCGGCACCTATGGGCGAGCGGTGAGTAGGAGAGGTGGCGGTGGTGGTGGTGGTGGTGGCGTATGATGAGGATGAGGATGAGGATGAGGATGAGGAGGAGGAGGATGAGGATCTTGTGATTGAATTCTCTATTTTATACTACTATCCAATTATAACTTTCTTCTGTTTCTTAATCCTATAACGAACATCAGTACTTCTATATGCAATCGTTCCTCCCGAGCATCCGAATGAGGAACTTACTCCGGATAATAATTTAATCGCACTCGTAGTCATGATGATATTTACTAGGACTTATCCATTTTGGATCTTTAATGAGGTGGATTGTACAAAAATTCTTCCTCATTCCTATGCCGTTGACCACGCTCTGTAGTTCATCCGCCTTAAGAGCCGGTTTCCCAACTCCAGAACAAAAGTGTCCCTCTCATTTCAGCTCCGCCACCCGTAGCTGTTGGCTGCTATGAATTAGATCGCTTATGCGATYGTTCGSCCTCCTTAGTCGAATTTTACGACAGGCGTGKAGTTACTATKGGTAAATTCTACTGTCCCTACCCACAGGAGCCCGTATAATAATTAACGAGGCGTATTTTTTGTTGCCCCTTGGTGTCAAATTCCTAAATACGGCCCTGGTGATGCGGGTTGCCTATATTGAGTAGTTAATACAAGTTTGGGAGGATCTTGTACTACGAATTKCCTATACAGAAGTTCCTTTGATTTTACATGTACAATTTAAGTGGGAGGATATTCAGAACCCCCTATTTGGCTATTATATACTACTATTATCAAACATTAAAATATATAATATAATTAATATAAATATAATATAATTGTATTTAATATATTATTCCATATATATGTATGTGTCAGTTTGTATTTTTGAATATGCTTACACCAATTTTGCGTCAAATGAAATCGGCATCTGGTCACTGTCTCACCGTCGCCGGGTCGAATCCCAGTCATGGGTGGACATCGCTTTCTGGGCAGTACAGGCTGTCTGGAGAGTGAGAGGCCGCCGCCCTCAACCCGGGCATAGCAGAAACCTACGGGTGCCCATTAGAAATTCTGCCAAATAAGCGTCCAAACTAGGCCTTCAAGCCAACTGACGGACATAAGTGCCATATGCAAAAATAAAAGTATACGTGCAAGTCGGAACCAGTAGATTTGAGTCTGTAGTACATGAATGAATCAATTAACTGTGGGTTTAATATGTAGCGACCAATATATTTATATTTTGATTTTGATTTTGCCAAGATTTATTTTATTGGGTGTTATTTACATATCGTAATACAGTAATTCAATCATAAGAAACCCTGTTACCATTTATTACTTGAGTGATTAGCCTTTAAGTACACACACACATCTCTTTACCACATAGCTCACTAGGATTTTCACGACGGATTCAACCAATGGTAATGAGCTATAACACATACAATATATACAGTATAATATACTGAGTATTTACAGTACCACAAAAATACGACGGTCGGTATGTGTGATAAGCTATATGCTACGAAGAATCTCGGTAACCAGGCGCATGACCTATTATTGTTCGTTCCCGAACAACAAGAATGGGTACAATTTATTATAAAATAATATTTCATAGTGAATCAATTCCCTATTTCCCCGATGCAGAAAGATGATGAATTGATAATACAATATGTATAATCTGTTACCTAAATTATTTTTAAATAACTAAGCAAATGTAATAATTTAACCRCGTGATATCCGTTAGGTATAAATTTGATTTTTCACAATCTAGATACATAGACAACTTTTGATGATAATCAATCCATATTTTTGTTACTTGTTGACTGTTGTAATATAATTAGTCATGTATAAGCACAGAAAAAATTATAAAATAATTAAGTATAAATCTATGAACAACTCATTATGTTAACTTACTTACTTAAATATGAACAAATTTGATGAAAGAATCTTCCTGTTATGATAATATAATTTATTATAATTATTTTAAATATCAGTTTGTCATTGTTTTATATTTTAAACTAATAAACTACACATACACAAAATAATACAAAACTATATAATAATATTTAAGCTATAATTAATTTAGCCTAATGCAATGAGATATGTTCCACATTCTCGCCTAATGGATTGAATATCTAACCAAAATATTCCACTCGATGTATAGAGTATAAAATCCCAATGGCTGTCAGATGTGTCGATAAGTCAATGATATTCAACTAAGATTCCAAATTAATTCATAGCCAATTTAAAAAGAAAATTTACTCATGGATCATAACTCAATGGCCCCTAGAATTTAGGTGTGGTAATATAAACATAAGTCAGTGGCAACAAATATTTGTTTAAAATATTTTGTATTATTTTGGGCATTTGACTCTCATGAGTAATACACATTACACAATGAGTCAATAAATCAAAACCTCAATATGAGAAATGAAAAATCTAGTGAAAATCCAATGTTGTAAAAATGTACAATTTAAAAGGCTCATAAAAACTTAATTTGACTCTCTGGTGGATATTTTTTTTTGTGCTAAAGATTTGTAAGGAATCTTGTATTCAATTTTCAAATCTTAGATTTAAAAGAACATTTTTTATGAATTTCTAGCTTAAAATAATTTGCGAATTTTCGTGACTTTTACGTATTTTGTCAAAAATCAAACTTTTAATGCTTATAAAAAAAAATTGTGACTATGAATTTATTTCATTTTTCAACTCCTATTGTGACAATATGTTAGGAGCCTTGTATTAATTTTTCAAGCTTTTCTAGCCAACAAATACATTTTGATCGATATTAATTTTAAAAAACCTAATAATTATCGAAATTTGCATATGCCTATAAATGGTTAAACTTAAGTCAAAAGTTTTTGAAAATTGCATGGTGGATATAATATACATATATAAATATTCGGTTAAAATTTGATGTATCTATGGTCATTTGTTTCAAAGTTACATCAAAAACCAAAATCGATTTTGTCGAAAACTGATTGTGGGTAAAATTTTCCGGTTTTCCCTTAATTTTTAGTTTGTTTATTCCGATTATTTAGAAAAATATTAAGAATTTTTTATTTTTGACCCCCTAAAGTACCAACTGGATTCACTTTCTGATTGAACGAGGTACTGAAGTCAAAAATGCACTTTTACTGTCCCTAAATGTGATGACAGACACAAAAAAAAAATTGAAAAATTGAAAAAAATTACTCACCAAATTTGTTTTCTTCTTTATCCTCGTATATGTTTGACTGTGTTTGCTCTAATATAAAATATAATTGATGGTATTATTTACTGTAGCATAAGCTCGTAAAAACGCATACTATAAACTTACAGGTATATGTATAGTAAAAACACAGAAAGGAATGTGAAAAACTTGTGATGCTTCTAATACTATTATAATGGTGTATAATTTTTTGATAATTATTCAGAGAAAGATTTACTTAAGGGGATTCGATATCACGATTTTCTGTCTTTGTCTAACACAAAGAATTTTAACAGTGTTCTCTGCCAAACGTATATAAAGTGAAGCGATAAGATTTCTGAAAACAAATTCGAATTTTTTGTCAAGTATACTTTAGATCAACTTCCGCACATTTTTTAATTATTTTAATTTTATCTTCTGCAAAAATTGAATAATGTAA